CACCCCATTCCTAAGAGGTGCGTAAAGGGGGCATGCAATGCATAAGCGCACCAGTGTGCCTAACATTTAATATACATTTAAATTTGTACTGAAATATTTATTTTACAAATTTTTTATATATCAATATCTATTTTAGTTTAAATTAATATTTGCAGAGAATGATTCTCAAAGTATTCATACAGTTATGGCTATGGAAAATGATAAGATCTTAGAATGTATTCCAAATAATTGTCCTGCGGGGCACTTTGCATCGCGGGAGCTGCCAAGCGCGTTTGCTGCAGACCCAGGTCTTGGCGGCTCCCGTGATGCAAAGTGCCCAGCGGGGCTTCAGTGGGGCTTTTGGAAAGCCGCCCCAGGGCTTTGCCTCACCAGCCATAAAGCTCACTGCACGTCACTGATTAATGGTATGCATGAAGCAGAAAAATATTCAAAATGCAATATATAGAATGGCTCTTTAGAACATGGAGTATAGTATGTTCTGAATGAACTTGGTCCAGAAGAATAAAATTTGAAACATTTTAATAAAGAATAACAGAATAATCTTATTTTCTTACTTTTTTCATCCAAGAATTCGTCCCACAATTGCAAAAGTCGATTGTATAGTAGTTTGTGATGAATGCTCCTTGACATCCAAAGCAAACACAATTTTACATTAATCTTAAATAAAATAAATAATGCTTTTTAAATTTTTACAAGCATCCTTTCAGCTAAAGAAAAAAAAAACAATTAAGCATACTTTCTGCAACAAGTGTCACAGCCAAAAAGCATTTCGCAACGAAGAAGGAAAAATAGTAATCCACAAAAAAGTTCCAAAAATACACTTATCCAGCTATTCAGTTGCATTTTTTCCTAATGCTTATGTGACATACACTCATATATTTGGCAGTCTAATAAAGAATATCTGTAGCTCAGGGTGGACATGAGAGGTCCTTGAGATTGCTTGTTTTCTTGCAGACATTTCATTATTCAAGTTAGGTAACATATCAGTGCTACTACCCTCATTTGGCAATCTATTTTGCCAAGCCCAGCCCATAAAAAATAGCATTTTTGCATTTGTTATCTATGCATAGTATAATTGGAGAAATGCCCGAAAATGAGATAATAAAATATCTCATAACAAGAAGTGCGAAACATACTTAAACTTATAGTGCATTCAGAAATTCACTTTTGTCAATTTTGTTATGCTGCAGCCTGATTTTACAGTTGTTGAAATTCATTTTTTTTCTCATTACACTCAGACCCTATAATGACAAAGTGAAAATAGAATTTTAGAAATGCCTGTAAATTTATTAAAAAGAAAAAAAATTGAAATATCACATTGGCATAAGTATTCAGACCCATTATAACAACACTTGAAATTTAGCTCAGGCACTATACTTTCCTTCTCTTCTCAGATAGCCCTAGCCAGTATCAGCAGAGATTGGACCAAGATGTGTTGTTTCATTGGCTAATGCAGTCTTGAATTCTTTGTATCTGCATTTTTTTAAACAAGCCATTTGGGATAGTTTGAAAGAATCGAATGAAATAAGCCTAAGACAAATATCCAGAATGGTGATATCTGGCCTGGTTCCACACAAAATATGGCTGTTCCAAACTTGGAAAGTTGTGCATGTTTTTTTTCTAGATATCTAAATGTCTTTCTTCATTTCTTTTTAGGGTCTGGGTAGCCATTATATATGTATATTCCTTTTGTATTGCCAATTTAACAAATATAACTTTTTAAATGAAATGTTGATGTTCTTGAACATGTATTTAATTTTGCAGACTGTACATGATGGAAGACAGTTTATGAAATTTATTGATCCTAATTTAGGAGTCCCTTTGCCCGAAAGAGACTATGGTGGAAATTGCCTTATATATGACCCCAATAATGAAACAGATGCCTTTCACAATATTTGGGTAAGATGCTAAAATGGAGAGATTGTATTCATTTAATAATATCTTTATGTCCTAGGATTTTGTACTTATTTGATGGATGCCTGATAATTGTTATTTAATCCAACATCAGTTGTTTTATAACTAAGAGTCTGTCTTCAGTAATTCCATAGATGAGTTCCAGTGCATCTTTCTGAGAATTTCAGGCTTCATTCCTTTAAAAGCAAATTTAACTTGGAAGACAGACTGCAGGTAGTCCTTGTTTAGTGACTTCAATTGATTCAACAATCTGATCATTGAGCAAAGTGATTGCTAAGTGAACACTCTCTGAGAGAGATGCTGTGCAGATCACTGATTGTTGCTATCTCATTTAGATAAAAGTTATCCCACATAATGTCCTGTGCCTGATTCATTCCCCCCCCCCTTATTTTTTTTCTTCCCTGCAGTGTGGAGAGATTGCTTAAACAAACTATTTCTTCCTGAGCTGCTTCTCAGTGCAGGATTTCCTTAAAAAGAGTTAACAAGGTTACCTTTATTAATTATTAATTATTAAAAAACTCCAGACCTCATAGCTGCTGCATGAAACTGACCAGAACTTAATCGGTTTCACATTAAAGGCCCTTTTTCATCATAAATGCTCAAGAGCGGAAAGCATTTATTACCATTGCATTTGTGAATGGTTGCTACCCAAGGTGGTTGCTAAATGAGGATTATCTGTAGTAAAATTTTGAAACCCATTAAAGTCATTTCCTACACATGGGAGCGAAGATATTACTGCCTTGCATATGGCTTTGGTTTTTTGTTGTTGTTTTTGTTCTTTTTTCATAACAAACCAAATGCAGAACAAAGATAAGGATGTTTTCCAGTTTTATAAATTTATATATAAATATTGTTATATTCAATGTGGGTTTTGTTGTAATGCAAAATGTATGCATGTTTCTGTAATTATCTTCTAACCTGTGTAGTAACTTAATCATGCTCTCCATTCCTCCATAATTGTATATTAAGAGTTGTCTTAAATTATTTACTTACTCCCACACTTTTTAAGTAAACTAAAGGAAATCTATATCTGTTATCTGCTAGGTGTTCTTTGCAGACTAGAATGTGTTGGCTGCTGTAGTTTTACGTAAGCTTTTTGTTTTTATGGAATAAAGAGCTGATCCAAAACATTGACGTCTCAGATCTAAAAAAACAAATTGGGACTCGTGCTGTATTTTTAGACTTGTTGCTCAAAGGTACAAAGGTGCATTTTTTGAAAGTTAAGATAAACATGTTTGCGATGAGGTTTACACAACAGCAGAATTTAACATAGTCAGATATTATATTATCTAAGGTAACCATACATTTTTCCTCTTTCAGATAGTTTATAAAAATTGAAATAACATTAATCTTTTTGCTAGGAAAAATATATTATACATTAGATGTGAGATGTACAAATTATTTTTAATCATTTAACAAATATTTTAAAACATTGTGAAGATGTTCAAATTGCATATGGAAATATATGTTTCAGTAGTCATTATCATCATTTATGTTGATTCCTTTTATTACATAGAAAGTAATTCTAATCTGTATAATCTACTTGAATTACAGGATAAACTAGATGGATTTGTTCCTGCTCATTTCCTTGGTTGGTACATAAAGGTGAGAATTAGCCCTTTCTTTGCTTAATTACTTACTATAGTTCTGAAGTCTCATTGCTTGTCAGTACTACAACTGCTTCTTATTCTTTATTATTATTAGTGGTAATCCAAGTTATTTTTAAAATAAGTTTCTAAATTTATTTTAAAACAGTAAAATTCTGTTTTTCTGTTGAATATCTTTAAATCTTAATCAGTTAAAGTATTAAGCTATTTTAATATAAGACTTAAAACAGCTAGCTATGTTATGATTAAACTAATGGGCACATAAATGTGTCACTATTTTCATCTTAATATACAAAGTAAATTGAATAGAGAAATGAAATCTGCTTTGTAATTATTTCTAAGAAATTGTTTTCCTAGCTAAGAAACAACTTTTGTCTTCATAATTACTCAAATTTATTTTAGTCTTAAATCTTCTAGTCCTCATTGACTATAACAGCGATGGCGAACCTATTTTGGCTCGCGCGCCATAAGGGGGGAGCACAGGGAGGGTCGTGCGCAGGTGTGCTGCACTCATAATGCAATGTGCGACCGCCCCAGTGTACATGCGCGCAAGAGAAGCGCGACCCCCCCCCATTTTTCCCTGCTTTTTTTTGCCCTCCCCAGGCTCCAGAAGCTTTATAGGAGCGCGGGGAGGGCGGAAAGAGCCTCCCCTACCTCTCCGGAGGCCCTCTGGAGGCTTCAGGGACCTTCAGGAGGCTTCTTTGAAGCCTCCGAAGGGCAAAAAAGGACCCTAAAAGCAAACCGGAAGTCACTTCCAGTTTGCTCATATGGTCCCTTTTACTCCTCCGGAAGCTTCAGGGAAGGTTCCTGAAGCCTCCAGAGGGCTTAAACCGACCCTATGAGCAAACCGGAAGTTCATTCCCGAACTTCCTGTTTGCCAATAGGGCTGTTTTTTTGCGCTCCAGAGGGACGGGGGAGGCTCTTTCCGCCTCCCAGGCTGCTATAAAGCTTCTGGAGCCTGGGGAGGGTGGAAAATGGCTTTAAAAAAGGTTGAACTCAGCTGGCCAGCGCGTGCATGCATGCTGGCCAGCTGATAGGGCAATGCCTCGTGTGCCCTGACAAATGGCTCCGTGTGCCACCTATGGCACGCGTGCCATAGGTTCGCCATCCCGGGACTATAAGTTCATAATGAAGGCTACTCTAGTTGCTTTTTGCTATCATAACAGCAGACCTGACTTCCTCCATATAGTGATGATATGCTGACAGAAAAATCAGTTCAGGTATAAAGGTAGTTCTTGACTTACTACTATTCATTTCGTGACTTTGAAATTACAATGGTACTGAAAAAGTGACTTATGATTGTTTTTCACACTTACTACTGTTGCAGCATCCCCATGGTCACATGATCAAAAATTGGGCTCTTGGTAGCTATCATGTATTTATGACAGTTCCACTGTCCTGGGGTCATGTGATCACCATTTGTGACCTTCACTGCCAGCTTCCAACAAGCAAAGTTAATGGGAAGGGCCAGATCTGCTTAATGATCAAATGATTCACTTAACAACTGCCATGATTCACTTAACAGCTGTGGCAAGAAAGGTTGTAAAATGGGACAAAACTCACTTAATTATCTTGCTTAGCAACATAAATTTTGGGCTCAATTGTGCTCATAATTCAAGAACTACCGGAATGTGTCTTTAGCTGTCAGTTCAATTGAATACAGTCCCAAAGAGATGAATTTTGAAAACACTATTTAGACCTTTCACTACCTAATTTTTAAAAAAATAGTGTTTACACATACAATAAATACTGAGAAAGTAACCTTTGTTTTGTTTTGCAATTGGAATTGATATTACTTGAGGCCAATTTTAAAGTTGTAATCCTTCCCATGGGTTTTTTAGAATGTAGTTGAAATGCATCATTTTGATAGAAACCTGAAGCAAACATTTTTCACCTTTAGTTGGCTAATAATTTCAGACATTTCATGCAGCTGGAAAATGTATTTGGAATGTTAGTTTGAGAATGTTGGCATAAGAAGACATTTTTCTACTTTTAAGCTAACATTTTATGCTACTATTTGAAAGTAATAGCAGTAGACTAAAAGTACTACATTGTAGTGTGCATTCTGCAGTAAAATTTACATATTCCTATTGCCCTATATTTTATCTATCAATAATTGACCATCAGAAATTATATCTTAAGTATTTGATTTCAGCATAATTCTGGAAAGTTCTTGTTTAGTAACTCTGCATGACTAATGTTCAAAGGTTATGCTATGTTCAACATGCATATAATTTGTGTTCAGATGTCCACAGTTCATTGATTTGAATGCTTGCATAATTCTGTATTTATGAAAAGTGATGCATGTGTTCTTATTGAGATGTTGGATTGACATTCCACTATCAAACAGCATTCCTTCACTTAAAATATCATTTATTAGAATACAGGAAACTTTATATTACATCCTCATTATTCCAACTCCTTCATTATTAAACTGCTTTTGATATTAGAAATACTACTGTTGTTGTAGTGTTGTAACATACCATTTTATTGGACTTATAGAACAGTCAGCTCTTTGGAAAATTTTCACTTCTACCTAAATCATTAAGAATATTCATATTTTTTTTTAAACATCTATCCAAAGATCATCACTTTGTCATTTTAAACACTCAGCAAAAAATGCAATTCAAATAGAAAATATTCATTGACAAATATTGTATTTAACTAGAGATGGAAGAAAATAATCAGACAATTCAGAAAAATATACACTGTATAAAGTGAATCAGGATGGAATCATAACCCAACTATTCATTGGTGAACAGATATGATGGTTCAGGTTTGTGTTCTGCTACAAAGGTATACACTATAATTCAGCTGTAGGCTTCAACAACACATGGCAAAATAACTTTGTTTTTATAATAATCACCCATGCAGAAGATACCTTGTGTTTGTGTAGCAGAGAGCCCCAATTACGTTTCTCAGCACTTAATAATATTTATTAAGAGCAATTGCTTCCAATTAAGCAGAAAGACAAGCCTCATGCTTTATTCACTTTGAGTTTTATAATATACGCATGGATAGTGGTCGAATTTTATTTTCCTTTTTATTCAAAATAGAAAAACAGAAACCAAGTTGCTTCTCATAGGACTGTTTGTCCAGAATGATTCTTGGAATTTAGAGAGTAATTCTGAGTTCCTGCTTGAAAGTAAACTCAATATTTTGTGCTGCGGATGTTTTTGAGAGCCTTTGTTCCTGATGTCTAGGACATCTTCAAAGGACTACTGGTTGGTGTTCTGTCTCCAATATATTATAAACAGAGCTGGAGAAAAAAATAATTTGATTCACATTTTAACATTAGTTTTCTTAATTTATGCTTCTTCACTTAATACATGAATCAGAATACTACTATCCTTTGGATTTTGTAAACAAAACCATGCATATAAAAATGCAAATAATTAGGGAAAGTAGCATTCAAAAAACATTGGCAAGGAAATGGCTTTGTAAATTTATTAAATGATGTGTTGCATTGTACATAAGAATGAATATTGTTCTTTATTTTAAAATATCATAAATTAATGCAGATATATAATGTTTGAAAACCGTGGTAAGCATTTACCATTCCTATTCACATGTTAAATGTCAGTGAGATTTTTTTCTTATTTTTTCTTCAATATTGGGTAATGCAAATTTGGACTGATCTGCAGAATAACTTTCTTCTTTCATAATTTGCTTAGACACTAATGATTCGGGATTGGTGGATGTGCATGATTATCAGTGTAATGTTTGAGTTTCTGGAGTACAGTCTAGAACATCAGCTTCCAAATTTCAGTGAATGTTGGTGGGATCATGTAAGTATTAAATACTCTCTTTAAAATTATTTGGCATATAGTGATGCAAATTCATTTTTCAAAAACTCACTTCACAGAGTTTAGTTACTTATTAAATATGAATAACTTTGGTAAGAGTAATGTTTATTGACTCTTCTTTCTAGAGACCATCTAGCAATCAACTCTGATATCCTCGGATTCATGAAAATGATCGGCAGTTTATTTTATTATTTCCAATGTTACATTAAATACAAGTACACATGAACCTGAGAACCAGTTTAAGATCACAATTGGGATCAGAATTTCAGTCACACCTACATCATCAAATGATCAGACACAATTGACTCTTGACAACTGTTATTTTTTTTAATGCCGATTAAGTTAGTCACCATACTTATTAAGAAAATTATCTGGTCATTAAATATTGCAATTGTTAAATGAATCCACCTTCTCCCATTGATTTTGCTGGTTGGAAACCAGCTTAGAAGGTTTGAAAATCACAATAGCATGACCACAAAGGTGATGCAGTGGTCATAATTTCAAGGACCTGTCATAAATCACCTTTTTTTAGCAATGTCATAACTTTGAACTATTCTTAAACAAATGGTCATAAGTCAAGGACTACTGTAGTGGTTAAGGCATCTGAATTCTACTGCCACTTTAGACACAAAACCAGTTGGAGTTCTTGCGCTAGTCATTCCATGTTAATATAACAATAATAATGACATTTATAAATAAAAGTTTATTTTTGTTAAATGATGCATTCTGAACTGAACAAAAAATCAGCAAGGAAAGAATCAAAGATGAAGTGAAATGTGTAAGTCTAAGGAGACAACAGATTATATGCCTTGATAAAAAGAAATATTTAGAAAAAAGTGTCAGACCAACCCAAATTTTATAACTAAAAATTGAGGATATATATCCTAGCTGGTTAATATAGAAAATAACAAACCGATTAATGGATTGAAAACTGAAAAATGAGTAGGATGGAATTATTTTATCATTTACTGTTCAGAAGATAACATGATAATTCTATAAATGAAATCACATTATGGGCTAAGAAGCTGTCTGTTTTGCCAAAATATTGGTTATATATAATTGCTATTTTAAAGTGCTATTTAGTATTTTATAAGGGCTGTGTGTGTGTGTGTGTGTGGTGTATGCATATTTTGCATAGAAACTGCAGTATCATTGCTATAGTCACAGTTATGTAGAGATTGTGATGAATCATTAAATTATTATTATTATTTGTAGTGGATTATGGATGTAATCTTATGCAATGGACTTGGCATTTACTGCGGAATGAAGACATTGGGGTGGCTTTCTTTGAAAACATATAAATGGCAAGGACTTTGGAATATTCCCACATATAAGTATGTTTAGTTACAAAATTTTACATTTAAGACAGAAAAATGCAAATCTTATATCACCTTTAATGCTAATGAATCCTACATTAAGATTAAATAGTTTTAACTTAAGATAAATTAATAATTATAAGTTCCATAAATATTATGAAATGGTATGTTTGTGAAATAAAATAATAGGTTAATGATGGATTATTACCATTTATACAAATGTCGTTTAGGGTAGAAATATCGAACATAGTTGTGTGAAGTATTGTTTTATTTCTTAAATTACAAAAATACTTCTATATACTCTCAAACATTTTTGTTGTTTTGTTTTTAGTTTCTTCATTACTTCTGGGTTTATGTTATTTATGCTATTTTCAATGTTTTTGTTAATCACATTTTATTTAATAGAAAGTGTTTTTAAAAAATTAACATGAAATATTTTTAATTTCCCCTCTAGAGGTAAAATGAAGAGAATTGCCTTTCAATTCACACCATACAGTTGGGTTAAATTTGAGTGGAAGCCAGCATCCAGCCTTCGCAGATGGCTAGCAGTGTGTGGTATTATTTTTATTGTAAGGGTAATTTCTTTCAATGAACTAATATAAGTATTTCAAATAGTTTTCTTTTATTTTTCAAAATACTGTAAACAGATTTCTTGCTTTTTCCCACAGACTCCTTAAATTTGACATAATCAAAATACAATTTATCTCCCAGAATTCCTGCTTTCATGCTAAGAGCAAAATAAAGAAAAGGAAGGAAGGAAGGAAGGAAGGAAGGAAGGAAGGAAGGAAGGAAGGAAGGAAGGAAGGAAGGAAGGAAGAGGCCACAATGGTCCCATTTAATTTAGAAGACTATATAAATACTAAATGAAATATAAATTGTTTCAGTTAAGGGATGAGTATTCACATGCAACAAACACATTTTATTTCAGTATTTATTATACTGTAAATGATTCCCTGATAATACAGACCATAGGAAGGGGAAACCCTCTCCATCAAAAGTAGTTCATTCACATATGCACATAATTGGTAGAATTTAAATAGGACAACTGGTAGGGAAGAAAAGGTAATTCTGAGACTGTAGTTAGAGACAAGGATGCGCTTGGTGTTCTCTGATCAAATACAAACATTTATCTGGGGAAAAAGAAAGGAAGAAAAGAACATTTTTCCTACATTTGTCAAAATTGGTCATCTTGAATGAAAATCTGACTTTATTGTTTGAATACATTTGTTTAAAAGTTTGATCTTCTGAATTTATATGAAAGAAGTGGTCGTCTTAAAATGGTGTGATTGGGAGGTTAAAATCACTGTGATGTTTTGAGTTTGTAACTTTGTACTGAATAATTATGTTTTTTCTAACAATTCACTTACATAATTTTGAATATCAGTAATTGCTGCATGGACAACCACATCTCATTTAGACATTGAAGTACCTGGTCATTTCATCAAATTTCCTTTGTGTAATAAATGAGAATAGGGAAATAGCAGCATCCCAAGAAAATGTAGATGATAATGATTAATTATCATTAATCATTAACAGCTTTATTTTTAAGAATTATTAAGATTGTTAACTTAGATAGTATTTCGTTGGCAAGACATTTCATGCATTCAAATGTATACACTTTGAAGAATTGTGACATTGAATAACAGGAAATTTCCTAAGTGATTGAATGGTATGTGTCAGTTTTTATTGGCAGAGTTGAATACATTTTACTTGAAATTTGTCCTGTGGATGCCTCCAGAACACTACTTGGTACTGCTGCGACTTGTCTTCTATGTGAATGTGGGAGGAGTAGCCATGAGAGAGATATATGATTTCATGGATGATCCGTAAGTTATTTCTCTTTAAACTCAGTTGCTTTATTTTTAGAACTTGGGATGTTTCCTGCAAGTTGTTGAGAAACATTATTCACCAAAATAGTGAATGAATCCATCTGTTATTTCAAGGGAAAGTATACTTTTTTTCCAGGCTCAGACTTATAATGCTTGACAAACTAACATTTGTGCTTTATTACATTACTTTGCTGCATGCCGTTTTCAGATGTATAGTAGTGCACAACAGCTTGAATGAAGTTTATGATTCAGACTAATTGGAATGCAATAGATTTTTGCTTAGGAAAATGTTGGAGAGGATTTTAAAAGCAATGTCTTAGCCTGAGGATGTTGTTAAATCTGGATTTACCCTAAAGATTTTTATAACCTTGGTTTACTGGCACGATAAAGGGACTTTACAGTATTCATATTTTACAGCAGTATGGCCTCACTAAGCAATGCATAAACAGCTGCCTGCTTATTATTTGTTATTTCTGTTTGCTTTGTTTATCAAATACTAGAACCCAGATCCATCTAATTGGATCCATCTTTTGTTTTGTTGTAATTTTGTTTTAAGTTTGGTGATAATGAAGCAAACTGGTTGGCCCCACAACTTTTCAGCATACTGTTTTATCTCTGACTATCAGAGAAATGTCTGTGTTTAATATCTAGGATTCCAATATCTTATGGAGATCACTTGTTGGTCTTTCATTCCCAGAGCAGGGAAGAATGGCTAAAAATGATTACTTTAGTTGGATTTCAGGATATTGAGCAATGACATTTATACCATTCCCTGACCCCTCATTTTGGACCTACTGATATGGAATATACTTCCTGCTTCAAACTAAGTATTCTGATCCATTTTTCGGTTCTTGTGTTTGAGTTGAAAAACAATCTCTTATTCTTTTGCCCTCTGTTCAACCACATGGCATAAGGTTGGAAAAGGGAAACTTCATCAATCCCCAACCCCTCATTACTAATTCACTGAATTGCCATTCTTTGCCAATAGAAGATATGGAGATCCAAGGGAAAAGACCCCCCAAAACGATCCCATATGTAAAAATGTCCTATTTTCTTAACTTTTATTACAGAGAAAATGACTAATGTCAGTATTTCCCAGTTCCACTAAAGTTTCAGTTGCTTCACAAACATAAGAATCTTATTTTTAGTACTACACTTCTTAGTAGGAGGAAGTTAAAAGCAAACTGTCTACAGAATTATTCCTTTATAAAACAAACATAAAGGCATATTTCTGTTTCTGTGTATTTTCAAAGATTAATGAAGATTTTTTTCCCCTTCTACTCTAGCAAACCATTCTGTTAGGCGGTTTAAAGATTTATGTAACTTCTTTTAAATAAAAGACTACTTTTAGATGCTAAAATGCTCATTGAATGTTCTGCAAATAGGGCGTTGGTTACTTACCTGATACGCCCTTTCTCGGGACGGTGGAAACATCATCCAGGCATGGGTATAACTCCATCAGGATCCAATCCGACTGGGTCTACAAGCATTAAAGACACTCCCACGAGGCTCCTCCTACCAGATTAGATGAAGGCATGAGTTGTAGACCACTGTGTAAACAGTCTCAGATGATTGATATATATATTATCTCGCAAGGCAAAAAAACAGAAAAATCAAAGTAAAAGACATAAAGAAAGAGTGGGGCTGGATGATGTCTCCACCGTCCCGAGAAAGGGCGTATCAGGTAAGTAACCAACGCCCATTCTCCTAGTAGTTGGAGACATCATCCAGGCATGGGACATACCAAAGCCCAATCTGTCCCATCGGGGGGGGGGGGTGTCCTGAATAGAATTTAATAATCTTAATCAGAAACCACTTGCTGCAACACGCGCCGTCCAAATGAAGCGTCAGCTGAGGCATATCTGTCGAGCTCGTAGTGGCAGATGAATGGAGAAAGAGAAGTCCACGTGGCTGAGGGTTGAGATGACCAGGCAGCAGAGGTGGCCGCGCTGCAGGTGGAGTGCGTCGTGATGTTGGGCGAAACAGGCAGACAGAGGGCGGAATAGGCCCTAGAAATAGCAGCTCATACCCAACGACCAATGTCAGGAGAGGCCTTGGAGCCTTTCTTACCTCCTGGTTGGAACTTCATGAAAAGAGCCTCAGAGTGCCTGAAAACAGCAATTCGTTTAATATAAACGCGTAGAGCATGATGTACATCAAGGTAATGCCAGTTACTCTCCAGCCAATGAGATGGTTGAGGGCAAAAATCGGGATGCACCAGTTCCTGGGCTCTGTGGAATACAGAATTTACCTTAGGTACAAAAGCTGGATCAAGGTGGAGGACAACCTTATCTGGATGAAAGATGCATAAATCTTGTCTGATGGACAACGCTGCCAGCTCGGAAATACGCCTCACCGAAGTTATGGCTACAAGAAAAACCACTTTTAAAGTCAAATCATATAAAGATACAGAATGTAAAGGCTCAAAGGGGGTCTGAGTTAAAGAGTCCAGGACTTTGGAGACATCCCAAGTCAAAAACCTGTGTATTGTTGATGGATTGATGTTTGTGGCACCTCTCAAGAAGTGACGGATAAGCGGGTCATGAGAAAGGGGCTGAGTGGAAGTCAGTGAGAAGATGGAGGAAAGGGCCGCGACCTGGTGACGGAGAGTATTTGGCAAGAGTCCTAGATCTATTCCCTGTTGAAGGAACTGGAAAATATGAGGGATAGAAGACTAAAGGAGCAATGCCCTTTCTATGGCACCAGACAAGAGAGCTGTGTCTGCTCAATCTCCAGGCGGTTAGTCGTAACAAGGAAGGTTGGGATGCTGGAACAACCATTGAAGGAGAAGAGAGGGAAACTGAGGAAATTGCCATGGTGGAGCTACCGAGAGGTTCAGCAGATCAGCAAGCCAGGGTCTGCGAGGCCACCGAGGAGCGATCAGGATCAGTTCTGCCTCCTCCATCAGCATTTTCCTTGGCTGTAGGTGGCTGAGAAGCAGTGGTTCTCTTTTTGCTCCTGGGCTCAGAGGGGACTGGAGGAGAAATAATGGCCAGAGAAGGTGGATCATTCCCCTGTGTAATAGTGGTCTCGTTGGTTGGCATTACTCACGGTTGAGGAGAGCACCTAAAATGGCCGCAGCAGGCTTCCCGCCCAACAAAATGGCCATCCGAGTAGATAGGGCCCTGAGGAAGGACTGAGGGAGTGAACCGAGAAGGCGGCTAAACGCTTAACAGAATTTGCCACCTGACAAATGCCTCGGTGCCAGAGGATGAATGCCCAAGCCGAAAGAGCCGTTTGAGGCCGAAAGGAGGAACACTGCTGAGGCGGCAAGGAAGAGCAGCGGCTTACGAAACGCCCTGCACTCAAGCAGCTTTGGGGCGGCTGCCGCGTTTTGAAGAGTCCTCAGCCGGCAAGATCAAGATGATCTCAAGGTCTTCTGGCAGCGTAGCTGCAGCGATCGGCTTTTCGGGCGGCATGGCAGCAGCAATCAGCGAATTAGCAGAGCCTGAGGTAAAAACCTTGTAGGCTAGCCCCTAGCATTCTCCGCGACGATTAGAGCCAAGCAAGAACAAGGCAAGAGCCCCTAGAGGCTACGAAGCCTCCAAAGCGAAAGAAACCAGAGCCAATTGAATTAAATTTAAAAGAGAGCCAATTAGAAGAAATTTGGAAAGTTTTAGTTAGAATTTAGTTTAAAATCAAATTATTTAGCAAGGAGATATATATATATATATTAGCACAGCTAAGCGAAGGATCGACTGAGTCTAAGCTGGGTAGGAGGAGCCTCGTGGGCATGTCTTTAATGCTTGTAGACCCAGTTGGATTGGATCCTGATGGAGTCATAAATGTACAAGAAAGAGGCTCAAGGCCTTGGCTTTACCTATTCTGGATGGGCTCTGGTGATTGTTTAAGGAAGGTTTGTGGAACATAGCTGCTAGAATAAGAGTGATAATAGTCTATGGAAATTAGGTCATCTTAGGGAGGTGGTCAGTGTAGGGAGGTGGTCAACTCTGGAGGTTTTACTGTATTTGGTTTGGTGATACAGAATACAAGGTCATATTTGGAGAAATGTAAAAATGCAGTTCAGTAGGATTCTTAGCATTAGAAAATAGATTAAAGAGCTATAGGATTGACATTCCTTGCTGTAGCAGTTGCTATTGTTTCCAGCAATCCCTCATGTAGATTTTTCCAGGGTGTTGGTTTAACACAGCAGAAACAAGATACAGTATGGAAAAACTAATAGGTACTAGATTTAAAAACAAGCACTGAAAATTTTAAGAATTTTGTTAAGAGTTGTTACTTCAGAATTCGCCGTATAAGTCTGCCTTCTAGGTATAGCAAAATGATCTGCGTAAATTCTTTATTTATAATTAACTATGTGAAATTGCTATACTTTCTCTTCTTTATTAAAAAGCTAAAGTATTAATATAATAATATTGCAGCACAGTGAATACAGTGGTACCTTTATACTAAACAGCTTTAGTATAAAGGTACCATCAAATTTGGTATTCAACGCATTTTGACATGGACATTTTGTCCCAGTAACCATTGTTTGCTTGGTACTCAATGCACAATCTCGAACTTCTTAGCATCAGCTCCCTTGTGACACAATACATTATTCTTTATCATACGCATTGTTCGTTTGGTACTCGTTGCGCTTCCGCTTCGCTTCCGCTTAATTACTTAGGTACCATTGTGTAACAGATTGTTCAAGAGGGAGCATCTGTGAAACCTGTCTGTTGTTAATTCCTCACCCACCTCTATGTCCTTCCTTCCTTCCTTCCTTCCTTCCTTCCTTCCTTCCTTTTCTGAGACATTGGCCGCAGGCATTTTGAAACAGTCCTCCATGTAGCATCACTCCCTCTTCTAACTTTAGGAAAGTTATTGCTTTTTTTTCCAACTGTTCAGGTGTTATCAGCAAAGAAGTACAGGATGGGCCAGAAGCCAGGCTGGGGAAAAGAAATTCCCAATGCTGTTATTCCAGAATATACCAGCCAGCATATATCTATTCAAACTTCTCAGCACCCTTCCCCCTCATTTATTATACTTTTCTATTCAGACTTCTGAGCATTTTCCCAGCCTATCTGTAAGCTGCTGCGCCAGCACACTGTCCACAGACAGATCTTTGCAGTGTCTCCCCTCCCTGCTTCCTTCCTTTACCAACATCCCTGATATGAAGTATGTGCATATCCTGCTCAATCTTCCTAGCATTGTCCCTCTTGCCCCAGAACTCAACCAAGAAACCACACAGAAGCATACAGATTTTTTAGGGCAGGGGTCTCCAACTACCAGGCTATTTGTGCAGTCTGGTTCCACTTTAGAACCGGACTGCACAAGCATTGGGCGAGGATGCATGCAGCTCCACTTGCGCAAGCAACAGGTGATTGCGCTTGTGTGAAAAGCTCCTTTTGTATGAGCAGGGTGCGCACCTGCTGCTTCGGCAATTGGAGCTGCATGTGCTCACGCGTACACCCCTGTCACTCACAGGGAATCATCTCCTCTCTGTCCCACTGCCAGGCTGCCAAGCTGGAAAGGTTGGAGACAGCTGTTGTAAGGGAAGCCATATAGGCTGTCCAGACATCTTGCCCAAGCAACAGATCAGTTTGTTATTTGCTTGTTGTTTTGGAATGCTTTGGGGGGAAAAATGTCCATTGTAAATAAACCACTAACCTGGTTTATTTACTGTACCATACAGTATGTATATGAAATGTAGTTTTATCAACATAGAAATTTGGGTTACCATGCTGATCAATATTTGTATGATAGACATTTACTGTTATTTATGGGGTAACATTTTATGGACTGTAATCTACTCCATCAAATATTTTACTAGGATATAGACTATTCCCAAAGATCACCTATTTCAGCCTCTGATTTTGGGGCACACGAGTCTGTCTGAAAAGCAGTTGCTTCTAAAGCTATGCTTCCTGGGTATAGTATAGAGATCTCAAGATGATGGTTTTAGAATATTACTGAAAATATTAACTGGAGTAATTCAATTTAAGCAGCAAAATTTCAAGATAATGCATGTTCTGGATTTGCCTCGTGTATAATATTTTGGGTACAGATATGTCTTGTACCTATATGCTATTACTTTTTTTTTATTGCAGGAAATTCTATAAGAAGTTGGGTCAGCAAGCTTGGCTGGTTGCTGCTATTACAGCTACAGAGTTCCTTATAGTGGTAAAATATGATCCATATACTTTAACACTATCGCTTCCTTTCTACATTACTCAATGTTGGATCCTTGGAATCATGCTTGTGCTTGCGTGGACAGTTTGGCGTTTTTTCATTCAGTAAGCAAAATTTGATTCTTGACTGTCTAGCTAGGCCTGTAATCTTTAGGTTGTTTGTATGGGAATTTTAAAATACTATGATAAAAGTTATTGAACACATGAACAAGCACCCACCTTTCAAGATGCCAAAGCTGGGGGACTCACTAATAGAAACTGACGTTCTTGTTGATAGCTAGGTAACCCTTTGATCAAAGACTTTTAATAAAGCCTTAATTATAACACTAGTTACCCTATAATTCTGAAAGAAGCAAACAGTCTGTTCCCCTTAGATTTTATTTATTTATTTATTAAATGTATATGCCACCCATCTCATCAGTAAGATGGCTGAATCCAAGGAAAAGGAGAGAAAGAGTTAGTATACTAAACTAATCCCCCAAATGAAATTTATCTAGAAGATTTCTTGCTCTTTCTTATCGAAATAGAGAAATGGAACAGAAAGATATCTCATAGCATACCCTAGGTTATGAGGTTCTGTTTGGCAGAATGTATTACATCTGGCTAGGCCATTTTTTGCTCCCCATCTCTGAGAAAGGAGGGCTGCAGGATTACTTGCTTTGGATTCAGTTTCAATGTGCCACATAAACATATTTTTGGGTCACAACCCTTTGATTGGGATCATGTAGCAGCACCGGATTCCAGGAGAAGATATAGTTGCTTAAAGGTATTGCAGAGAGATGCTACATTCATTCTCCTGCATGCCCTGGAATACTTTTTGGAGATCAGATCTGAAGTGCTGCCCAGACGTTTCTGCTTTGCATTAAGTATCAAAAGAGTTGGGGGTGGGGTGGGGTGGGGTTTGAGAGTGGATCATCTCCCAATTTGTTTATTTGGAAGGCTGATTAAAATGTATAACACTTTTTAAACAGAATTAACAGGTGCTTGATATTCTCAAAAGGTAGTTTATAATTGTTTTAGAGAAATGAAAGGAACTACAGAGATTTATTGCTTTTTTTTAAAGTAAAAGAAACAATTCTTTTTTGTTTGTTTCAGTGACATCACCTTACGGTATAAAGAGATAAGAAGGCAAAAGCAAGAACATAAATTTGGAAAGGATAAATATTTAAGCAATGGTGATGGACAATCTGTAAATGAGTACCTGAAGAATAAACTAAGAGAGAAAAAACTTTGATCCTAATTAATCGGTGAAGGGCTAAGAAGATTGATTTTCTTGATTTGCAAGTTTAACCCTTCCTCATTTTGTAATTTTCAATGTTTTCTCATGTGTGAGAATCCTTTTGGAAAAGATGCCACTTAATCTCTTTTGAGGAAAGTGTTTACAACTAACTGTAGAAGTAGTGCTCCTTCCACAGGGGAACTTCAAACCAAGTGTGGTAAATGTGAGTGCCACCTCACAAAGGAGGATTGGGGAGGCTTTAACTAATACAAATGCAGCCTCCCCATTGTGGAAAACTGTTAACATTTTGGTCATCATGAACATGTTTTATGAAATAAATCGGTGCACTGTGAAAAGCAGTTTGATGTTTTCTGCTGAAACTAGTCTAAGCTATAGTGATAATGTTCATGTTCTTATGATTCATTTAACAATACAGAAAAAGAGGGATGCAACTGATGTATGAGAACAAACTGCAAAATTTGCACAGTACACTACTGCAGCCAGCCTTTGAAAGTCCTGAATTTAGCTGCCTGGATAAAGGTGCTTTACTTTGAACAACTGGCTAGTACATTACACTCTCAAATACCTCTTTGTCGACTGTCTCTTTAGGAAAGGCATCTCTTTAGAAAGGATGCTGATTAGCCAAATAGTGAAAATGAAGGCAAAAGCAGGTAGAAATGTGTCCTAGTCTTAGTCATATGAATCAAAGTGAACCTTAGTTTTATTCTTCTGCAAATGAGATGCTTATTGTTCTTGCCAGGACTATGTTTGGGTGTTGCTCCTCTGTCGAATAAACCAAAATATATGACATGGATGTTCAGAATTATTTTTTTTAAACTTCTAGAATAGGGATGGGCCCAAGTGTCCTTTCAGATATTATCAAACAGTTCTCATCAATCCAGCTAGCATGGCTACCTGTGCTGGATGATGGGAGTTGCCCATCTCTGTTGTAGAAATTAAGGCAGGAAGATTTATGGGCAAGTGGTATGGACGTAGTCAGCCACTAAATACTGATAGAAGTATATTATCATCTCTCAAGCATCTAGACCAAGAGCAGCAACTGTCTTGCTTGTCACATTCTCTCAAAATAATGTTTGTTTTATGAACATCTTGAATTGCTTTCATATTTTTAAAACAACTAGGTCAATTTAACTTACAGGTAATACCGATGTTTATCTTAACACTGTAATTGGATCTCAAATAATTAGACTTGGGGGAATTTATTTTGAAATGTTTTATTCTTTGGACATGCATATAAGCTAAAATGCTGTATTCTACTTGCCTCTTCTCCTTGTATGATCTCAAAGTGCCGCTACTTAAAGCACAGTGCATAAATCTTGGCTCCCTTTTATAATACTTGAACTGCAAAATAAGTCTGTCCTGGCCTTGTTTCCAGGATACCACTAATATTCTCCTCTTTAACAAAGGACGCTTTCAGGAAAAGAAAAAAAAATCCATATAAATGAATGTTGAAAAGTTCACCAGAAGTCACAGGTTGAAATTCTTCATTGAGCACCTAGTACATTTCAATTTAAGATTTACATAGTCTCTATCTGTTTTGTACTAGTAGATTCTGCCCCTCTTTGTAATTTTGTATTGTAAAGTCTTTCATGTAATTCTGGTGGTAACAAGTGCAATGGGGAAAAACTTGAAAATATTTTTGTTGTTGTTGAGGAAGTAATTGTGTAAAAACTGAAGTATGTGAAAAATGCTACTTTTGTTTTAAAAATTGAAGTTGACTTATTCTCAAACCATTACTTTCATACTGATCTTTATGTTCATGAAACAGTCTTAAAATTATAGTATGGCAAATTGAACAAATATAATAAAAGAGTATTTGCTGGTATGATTTTGAGTTACAAACTTTATTTGGGAAGGGAAGTGGTTCTCATGTCCCATGTGGATAGTTTTACATACCCACATGACCATCAGGTCAAATTTGCATTGCTTTTTTCTTCTACCTCACCATCATACATTGTATTTCTTTTTAAATGTCCCAGTTTTCTTTTTCAGAATCTCAACTTGTCTTATTTCCTGTTTAACACAAAAACACTTTTAAACACTTTATTTTTCTCATGCATACTTTATTATATACTGTATTATTATATTAGTATATAGCATATTATTATAGAATGTACTACTATGTAAACATCAGGGTTGTGTTTGACCATGGGGGGGGGGGCGGGTGGGGCATGGGGGCTGACCAGGGTGGATATGGCCCAGAGATGGATTGCTCCCAGTTCAGCCCAGATCGGGTGAAACGGTAGCAGCAGCGGGAGGCTCCAGTCACCAGCATGGAGGCTTCTGCGCATATACAGAAGAATCACGTGCGCACATGAGTGAACCGGTAGTAAAAAAAAAATGGAAACCCACCACTGGTGTGGTCAACTCGATGTCCCTCATGCCAGGGGCACCTGTGGTGATCCAAGCTCTCTGCCAGTGAAAACGGGCTCCACAGCTGTTTTCAGCTGCCTCCTGCAGCCCTATGCCAGCAAAAATGGAGCTCGGGAATGCCTCATGCAGCCTTCATTAGCTGTTTTTGCTGGCAGAAGCACCATGGGCTGGTCCTTTGCTGTATCTCACCCTCGTGGGCCAGATCTAAATACCCCGTGGGCCGGATTTGACCCCCTGCCCTTGAGTTTGACACCCCTGCCCTACAATAATGTTATTTACTTGCTTGAT